AGGAAGGCCTGGCGCAATATGGTTCATGGGGTCACGAAGAGTCGGACACGACTTAACGACTAAACAACAACAACAATTATGACATTAAAGCTTTAAGGCTTTCTGGAGCTTTTTGGCAAAAGATGCATACTAGTTTCTGAATTCTCAGATTAGAACTCCAACATTGTGCTTATTCATGTTGCATTCATACATCTTCTTACATAAAAATTTACACTGTTCATACTAACAGCACAATGTTTTCAGAGTTTGGCCAAAACTTCTGGGAGTGGTCTGGAGAATACCAGAATAGGCACAATTTGCATTGGCAGATTAGGCTTCTGGAAGAGATCACAGTGCACCAGCAGAGTGCATACCTTGCGCTCAGATGTGATTCACCCCAGAGAGCAGCTACCAATTAAAAAGTCAACTCTTGACTAGATGGACAAAACTTGGGATAGAAACTTTCTCATGTTTCAGACTAGCTGTGCTCCAATAATAAGAAATGAGATGAGATGAGATGAGATGAGATGAGATGAGATGAGATGAGATGAGATGAGATGAGATGATTATAGAAGCCAGTTGAAATCATAGACAGAATTATAGAATACAGATTTTGGAGATCATCTAGACTGATCCACTTCAGCTACCCACATCATCCCTGAAAGATGGCCATCCAGACTCTGTGTAACAACCTCCAGTGAAGCAGTGTCCATCATCTCTTGCTGAACAGCTTTAACTGTTAGGCATTTTTTCCCTGTTAATTTAAACCCATTTTTCATCCTATTTTCAAGAACAACTCTGAACAATTCTGCCCTGTTTTCTACATGACAGCCCCTCAGATACTCAAAGACAGGTGTAATATCTTCCCAGTTTTCTCTTATCCTGGTTAAACAATTAAACACTGCCAATTGTTCCTTGTAAGTCTTTCCTTTCAAGCCTCTTAGTTGCTCTGTTCAGATCACGCTTCAGTTTGATGTTTTTTAAAATGTGAGGCCTAGAATTGGACATAATATTCTAGGTCCAGTCTGACCAATGTTTGACGATTCTTACTTGTCTAAAATATTGTACCTGATTTAGTAGCATAGAAGAAATACAGCTTTATATTATCTCACCCAATATGCCCAAACTACAGAGATCTGTTTATTGTAGTTTTTTGAAACCTCTGTCAGATACAGATCAGCCCCATGGCTCTTTTTAAAGCTAAGTATGGTACTTAATTTTTTTGAATTAGTAATTAAATGAAATAAATGACAATATTGCAGGTATAGATTCTGCATGATATTAATGACTCTCCTCACTACTAAGTTGAAAATGCATCCATCGCTGAGTTGTGAAGAAGTCTACTGCCATCAAATTTGATCTTCTGATTCTTCTCCTGCATCTCCTGCCTCTGACTGGAGTCTGTGCAGTCCTCCAAGGTCATGAACAACAAAGCCTAACACTTTTTACACATCTTGAAGCTGTCCTTGAACAGTGTGAGATTATGAAGGAAAGCACTACTTGAACATCAACATGGTAAGATGACTTAACCTTGCCTCACTCAAGGGTTGGGGACAAGCTGAAGGCAACCTCATGAGAACCTAGCATTAAAAATATGCTGCTACATTAAATGCAAATGGGGAAAGGCTCTAAATGTATTATGGTGTATGACATTTGAGTTATTTCTTCATACTAGAATATTATTTTTCTGATGCAAGTTTTATTTAAATATTAAATAAATGTGACCTGGCACAAATCCATTTATCATGTGGAATCATGGCCTAATTGTCTCAAATAGACATTTGTCACCAACTTCTTACCTGGAGACTTGTGCTGTTGTCTGAAAACGGAGAACTGAAAAAGCCACTCACTATACTCATTACTGGTTCAGTGACATATTTTTCAAGAGATAAATCTGCATGTTTTCTGTCTGTAGTGGTGTTACAAACCTATTGGTGGAAAGAATGACTATATGAAGAATCAAAATACACAAACACTCCATTTATTCATCAAGTTTCAAGCCAAAAACATATAGTGTATGAAACACAGCAGTGGTCACTAGAGGTGTAAGTCAAGGATTTTTCCTATTTTCCTTTCTTTTGAAACACCATGGGTTCCCTCAACATGGTGTTCTAGCCAAGATTTAATGCACCAGTTTTCATTCCATGAAAGACAAGAACCAATGGCATGAATGTCAACAGTATGATTTTGTGGACTGGAAAAACATTAGCTGGGGCTGCATGAAGTTCATGGGGTTTCCACCAACCTGAGAATTTTATTGAACTGAATCATTTTTAGAGGATGAGAAAGAATTCCTATGGAAATTCCTCTGAACTTCTAGAGGAGTTAAAAGCGCTGGGTCTTTGGGTTCAATCAAGTGTTGGACATAGTGCTGAAACTGACTGGAAATATATACATTAAGCTAGGCTCTTTTTAATGTGTAGTGGAGTGCAATACAAATGAATGACTGGACTTTCTATATAACATACATCTGCCCAAAGCCATTGGAAACATCTCCAAGTAGATCTGGGCTACTAAACAATGTGATTGGATTCTTCCAGGATTTTTTATTAAATTTCTCAATCAAGTGTATTATCCTAGAATTTCATGGTGATCTCCCATGCAGGTACTAAACAGGTCTGACCTTGCTTAGCTTTTTCAAGATCAGCTAGAATCAGCCAGATGCTGCCACTTGTTATAACTGCGCTCAAAATGGAAGCACACAAATGTTCTTGAGTTGCCACGAACAGGGAGAAGCTAAAAGCAAATAGACAGATAGACAGGCAGACAAATAGACATAACACGCACAAACATACATAGATACATACACACGGACACCAAGGTAGCTGCAGCCTCCTTCCCTAGGTGCCTGAAAAGCTCCTGTAGCTTTTCTTAATAACTTGAAAAGTTTTCTTGGAGTTCTGAAGCAAAGCAAAATTGAACCTGAATAATGTGGTGAGTGTTATTTTTTTTAAATAATAATAACAACATTTTTTCCTTTCTCTTAATATCACTCTTAATATCAAGTCCAGTTCTTAGCTTGAAGAAAAACTTGTATGACTTCACTCTAGTACAGCAGTGTTTCCTAACCTCAGCAATGTGTGGACCATGTGGAAAATGTGTAGACCAACTCCCAGGGAAGTCCTCTCACTATTTAGCTAGATATTAAAGTAAGTTTGAATAGAAACAAATCATTTAATACGGTTCCTGAAGGACATCAAAAGCTTACCCTTGCCATATCAACCAGAAAATTCTCAAACAGCTTCCAGATATGGTTACTGGTGTAGATTTCCTTCATTTCTACTTCAGTGTCCACATAGCAATGATTGACAAAGTTCACATAGGCAATTTTCACCTGGAAGTTCAAAGAAATCTTTATTGATGCAAAACACAAACATAACCATTTGATTTTCACACCAATAGATCAAAACCGTTCCCAAAGTGTGTATTACAGTCTACAAACTTGTTTTCCATTATTGTATTTTCAGTGAATCTAAGGCAACTCTTCCTTTTTAAAGATATATAACTTGGGGACAATAACCAGGCTTTATTTCAGTAATAATACAGTATTATCAAATATCAATGCAATTAGTAAGAGCCAATCATGACTCTGTCTTCATCTAAACGGCAAAACACTGTTTCTTGTGATTTTTCCTACCCCAGCTCCCAAATCATGTTACCATTTTAGGGGAGATCAATTTCATTGTTTTAATTAATGGCTTCTTATTTTCTTGATTTACCTCTTTTGCTGTAACTGCTGAAACACAGAGCAGAAGTCCTATTTTTGGCACGGCTACTCAACATGCAATCTTTTTCCTTAAGATTCATACAGATTCTTCTTTTGTGGCACTCTAAAGACTGGCATGTAAACCTCATCTTACCTTAGGAATGTACAATCAAACCCAGCTTATTTTAGGAACATGCAGCAGCGCTCGACTTACCTCAGGTATGCAGTCATCATGAGTCACTACTCGCACTATGTCATCCAATGGAAGGAGAGAATTACACTTGATCTCAGTGTAGACATTTTTGCCTTCTGTGCAGGCTGCTAGCAGTTCCACCAGGGTGATGTGATAAACCAAAGGCCCACTGTCATCTACTCGGTCTCGCTCAGAGCACATCATTTGAAGGAGGATTGGAAAAGATGCTCTGTCATTGTAGAACACTAAGACATCTTCACCCCCGTTGACTAGCTGAAACGATACCAGGAATCACTTCTCATCCACTGACATGGGTTTCTCCCGCTCCCAACTTTTAAGTCAAAAACATTAAATGTGATCACCAGTTCAGAATCATTCAAATTGTTCACAGCCAACTATGGGCTTTCTCAGCCCCACCCCACCCCAATCTCTTGATGGAGGAGATGCTGCAGGAGAGAAAAGCAATCATAGTCTTTTCTGTCCAGATGCAAGGAGAGTTGGGCTCCACTTGCAAAATCAATAACGGGGAGAAACTAGAACTCGCAGATTTGTCAATCCTGACTTTACAGGGTTAACAGACTGAAAAACAAATATTACATTCCATGGGGGCAAATTAAGTCCACAGTTAGCTCTCCATACAATGGATAAGTGTGTCACAAGAAATATGCTATGTATTTTAATCATAATAAATCATTGCAAAGAGGGCAAGGTTCATCAAAAGCACGAGAACAGAACTGCCAAGTTTCTATTGGAAGCTATTGCCATAAGAAGGCTCAACGTGCCTTAATCTTGGAATGATGTCAGTAGGAAGTCTTTT